AGTTGTCCCTTTCATGGTGGTTTGAACTATTGCTTCAATCCTTTTTGCTTACAGAACCATGGATCACATCATTCTCGTCTGTGGGAAGTGGAAATTCAAAAGGAAGAAGTGGTTATTTGAAGTTGACAATGAGCAAGGTAGTAAATTACTCACAGCTAATGAGAAAACTACATATGATGATTTTGTGAAGATCATACATGAGGATTACGAAGTGGATGCCGCAGATCATGAGTTGGAGCTGGCTTACCTTGTTCCAAAACGTAATCTCTTCAAGGAAAATATAGATACTCCTCCTGTGAAAGTAAGAAACGATAGTCAATTTCAGAGATTTTTGTGTTCACAAAGTCAAAAACGTCAGACTATGTGTAGAGTTTAAAGTGAAGAAAAACAATGTCGGAGAAGGTATAGACGATCCAGAAGAAACCGTAGAAAATGAAGACCCATTGTCTAGCGATTCAGAAGATACAGATGAAGAGGGTGATCGCTTTGATTACTGCGACGATTCTGATGGTGTAACATCTGATGACTAGAACTTTACGTCATATGGGGTTCCACCAGATAAAGAAGAAGAGGAGTAGGGATCTCCTACAAAGACGAGTCAACACAATGTTCAAAAGACACAAGAGAGAGATTCTCCACATGATAGGGTTGACTTGAGCTCTTTTAACTTTAACGTGGGACAAACTTTTGAATCAAAAGAAGCACTAGAGACACGTCTGAAGATTTTTTCAGTTGTCAAAAATTTTGATTTTGATGTGGTTAAATCTACACTTGAGTTGTTATGTGTAAAATTTTGGTTAAAAGGTTGTACGTGGACACTCAGAGCTTCACCAGTAGGGGAATCTACAAAGTTTACTGTTCGAGTATATGTGGCTGAACAATCCTGCTCCGTAACAGAGCGTTCGTCTCGTTCCCGACAAGCAACTCCTGAAATTCTTGAAGTCTTGTACAACGACTAAGTTGGTGGGGTTGAAAAGAGTGTTATGCCAAGTCATGTTTCTACTGCTATGTCCTTGAGATTTGGAATCAAGGTAAATAGAGTCAATTTTTGCTTCAAAATTACTGTATTGTTTGACCTTATTTGATATTAAATGTGTCGATGTCATTTGTATATTTCAGATAGAGTATTGGAAAGCTCATCGTACACTTATGGTTGCTAGAGATCTCATATTAGGTTCATCAGAGAGTTGATACCAAGAATTACCTTCTTACTTGCATAGGATTAAATTGGCGAATCCTAGAACTGTAACAGCATTGGAAGTCGATTCAGACAATAGGTTCAAGTACTTTCAGTGCTAGCATTACCGGATTTCCATATATGAGGAAGGTTGTTGTGGTTGATGGTACTTTCTTGCAAGGAAAATATAAAGGAACGCTTCTCATTGCCACATCACAAGATATAAATATTCAAATATTTCCAATTGTATTTGTGGTAGTTGCACAGAGAATGATGAATCATGGACATGGTTTTTCCGGCAACTCAGCCGTGTGATACCCGATGATGAAGGCTAAGCGTTGATTTCTTATAGACACAAATCAATAGGGAAGGCTATTGCAGTGGTCTATCCATTGGCTAGCAAGGGAATTTGCACTTACCACTTATATAAGAACATCTTGTTACGGTACAGAGGGCGTGATCTGTTTAGGTCAGTTAAAAAGGCCGCATACTCTTTTAGGGTTACAGACTTTCAAGAGACTTTCGAGATGATCAAAGAGTTAAATCCAGCTTTGCATGCATATTTGGAACGTGCTGTTGTATGTAAGTGGGCACGAGCTCATTTTAGAGGTAATCAATACAACATCCTTACAAGTAACATAGCTGAATCCATAAACAGAGCTTTGTCAGATGTGAGAAGCTTGCCAATCGTTTGCCTTCTAGAGGCAATCCGATTAATGATGACACGTTGGTTTGCAACAAGAAAACATGATGTTGTCTTGATGAAAACCTCTCTCACTCGTGGTGTAGAGAAGTTGCTGGAGGCATTATAATCAGATATCTCGTTTATTCTTGGTATGAAGAAGACTTTTTCTAAATTCCAATCTCTTTTGGTAGGCCCGTATACCTATTGTTAATTTGTTAATGGTTCAAGCGATTGACATACATCAGTCACAAGTGATGGAAGTCTCATCTTTACATGTTGTAAATCTGACCGAGAAGACATGCTCTTGACGTAGATTTGATTTGGAGAAACTACCATGTGATCATGCTATAGCTGCTGCGGAAGCTAGAAAGATATCACGTATATCACTTTGTCACCATTACTATCAAAAGCAGTACATGTACAACGCCTATTTCAGTGATGTTATGCCCAACGATGATGTTGTTCCAATTCCACAAGAAGTTGCGAATAAAGTATGTTCACCACCTGAAAGACCGAAGAAATCTAGACATAAATCTATTTTGGAGAAAGTGACAGAGAAGAAGTGACCACGAAAGGAACACTCATGTAGAATTTGTAACCTGACGGGACATAATTCTAAAACATGTCCTCTGAAGTGATGAGTATTCGATTACATTTGTTTTTGCTTCGGTCATTTGTCTTTGGATTTTACATTACATTTCAGCTATTTGACTTTGGTGTTTACATTACATTTGATTTTGCTTTGGTCATTTGTTTACATTACATTAACCTTTGTTTTGGTCATTTGTGTTGACACGAAGGAAAATATATTCCTCTTATTCTCTTTGTTATTCTCTCTCTAAGATCAATCTCTCTTTAGCAATACTCTCACTCTAATCATCTAAACTCCCTTGAATCTACATTATACTTTTTTTTATCAATTTGTTTAGATTACATTTGTTTTTTTTGCTTTGGTCAACATTACATTTACCATATACATACGAAAACCAGCCAAGTTATCATCCATCCATGATCCAATGGAGCTTATATATACATCCATCAAGTAGTACTACATACTAATAGAAAAACCTTCCAACTAAAATATCCATCCAAGAAAAACCTGCAAACTGAAACATCCATCCAAGTTATCATCCCAAGTACTAGCCAACAATTACACTAATAAAATCATCCAAATAACAATAGAAATCTAACACAGTAACCACAATACATCTCTGGCCTCTTCAAAGATGTCTGCTGCCACCTTTAATCGCAGAGCCGCTATGATCTTATCAGATAAGCCGTCAAATGTACGTCCAAGAGCCATACCTTCTATGTACTTCAGAGAGTACACACCACAATCTCCCGGGTTGTCGTTTGGAGGACACTTGTGCCTAGGTATTGTGATCTGCTTCTCAGTCTTCTTTCGCTTTTTAACAGGGAGCATCTTGTTAAGCACAAGTGGAAGCATTTTCGTGAATGCCCTGCACTAGTCACGCATACCACTTTCAGATGGCACCAATCTCGGAATACTATCATAGACATGGACCGTCAACTTCGAAAAATCAATGTGTAAGCCCACCCAGTGGTTTCCATTAATAAGGTGGCAGGTGAACAAGTTGTCGACATCCAGAAACCACTTTTTACCTGTAACAAACTGTTCTGCATTGAACGCCTTGCTGTACATATCTGACAACTCGATTGGCTTGCCCTCCTTCACCCTTTTGTTGTAGTCATTAACCCATGAGTTCACGAACCACTGATCAAGAAATCCTATTCGAGAGGAGGCATACGGAGATGTGGATAGCATGGACCGTCTATGAAACATGAGTATTGTTGCAGACATGTGCTGCAAAACCCGAAACCATAGCTTAAAATCAGTAAGCCATTAATCTTGTGAAGGCCAAAACCAGAAAATTGGAAACACTCACCGTGTCACTCAGCCAGCCGTAAGTGGGAGTTGGCCAATCTTGTCTTGGTATCATTAGCTTTAAGTAAAACTGAGCGCAATTGTCTCCGTAGCCAGTTTCCTCTTGGTCCCTAAATGAAAAAAAAACAGACCTTTCAAACACCACATCTTACAAAGAAGATAAGAAGGATTCATGAAAACTTACAAATCTTGTTTAATGAAGTCCAAAACCTTCTGTAGTTTTCCCGCCTCAACTTTAGCTAATGGGTCATACGCCTTCTTCGAAACAGTGACATCACTTATTATACGCTTCACTGTTGAATTCCCAACGTACGGCCATACTTGAGTCTTTGTCAACTGGGGCTTACGTCAACCTCTGGGCTCCTCTATACTCGCATCTAGAGCTTCCAAAACTTGCCTACACTTTCCAGTCTTCTCCCATTTCAGATGTTCTTCCCACTCTTGACTCGAAATAGTTTCATCATTCAGCGTCAGGATTGAAAACGCTTTCTTCTCCTTCTTCACAGTTTTCAATGGCGCTTCATCAGGCTCAAGATCCTCCTTCTTCATCGTCACTTCCTTCTTCTCCTGCACTTTTTTTAGTGGTGCCTCCTTAATCTTAGGCTCCTCCTTCTCCACCGTCATCTTTGCCTTCTTCTCCTTCTTAACAACACGTTGAATTGGCAAAACATCATGTGAACTGATCTTCTTCTCAATCTTCCATGACTGAATTATTAAACAACTTCATCAGTTACTAAAATTTAAAAAAAAAAACAGAGATCAAGATGGTGAAAGATCGTACCAAGTCATTGCTAGAAGCATCATCATCAGCCTTGGAATTTCCAGAGTTGGAGGCGGCCACATCAGCCTTGTTTTTTTAAAAAATTACATCTTCCTCCAAACTTGCGATCTTCTGCAGAAACTCATCCCTCATGGAACCCACTCTAGCGTCCACCTTTTCTTGTATGGTACCTTCTAAACTCTTACAAACTCTCTCAGCTACACTAACATCTATGCCTTCTATTTTGCAGTAATTTTGGAAATTAAGCCAAGTATAGTGGCGTTCTGATCTGCGAACTTCAACTCCAAAAACGAAACAAATCAGTGACAAAATTAAAAAATTGGTGCTATCATTAACTGAATGAAATTTCTATACATACCATATTAGATGCTTCGTTGTTATGATCAGGTTCTTTTCCCTTATGTCGCTTAGTAGAAGGTCCCATATTAGAAATAACAGATGCGCCAACACATTATTTTCTCTTCTCGGGAGATTTCGTAGTTGAGGTTACATCCCAAAACTTCTCATTTAGCTGGCCATCGAATATGTCTTTTATCAGGTTGTCCAGCTCAGGATCGAATTCATCATTCGCCCACTTCGGATATATTTCTTCCACTAGCTTCATAACCATATGCCTCACACGAACCTGTAAATTATATACAAGATTAGCTAAGCACTCTTAACGTAAAGAAACCACAGAACATAACCTGATTCTTCTTCCCTAGCGACCAATGAGTAAAACAAAAGTAATCAAGCTCACAACAAAAAAAAATTTCAAATCACTCTTAGCAATCAGAAACCATAGCCTAAAGCGAGTGATGGTCGGATGGTCTAACTAGTGTCTTTAAAAATCAAAACAATTTTTCAAATCACAAATCTCTCTCAATGGTGAAGAAATAAACAACAAAAGAACAAGAAATCAGAGAAATTTTGTACCTTCTGATGCTATTTTTTCCTGGTCACAGAATTCTTGGAAACGAGAACCCCCCCCCCCCCCCCCCGCCCCCATGATAGAAGAGGAACATCAGCTCCCTCTATCTGATTCCCATATTTTTCTCCAATACCAGGGACGAATTCATAAATCCATATTAACAGGACGTGAACACAACCTCGAACTGTGTAACTCTTCTCTGCTTGAAATGTTATCATTTTAATAGATTGAACAAGGCTGCTAAATCCAAGCTGACCCCATGGATAGCGCTGGAAAGCTGCTTTGTCCATCACTCTTATAGCACAATGAAAAGGAGTCATGCTGTTGCTTGAGATGCCAAATATACCAATGCTTGGCAGCCCCAACAATCCGACCATCACTCGCTTCTCTCAAGACCAGTTTCTGCACTTCACCAATATCACTTGTAACTCTTTCAAGGTAGGTCCTTCTGATGGTGGAACATTCATCTCCCCCCCCCCAAAAAAAAAACTCTCGATGATCCACATCCCAGACATCATGCTTGTCCAAAGCATCACAGTTTAGACTATAAAATATTTTTAGTAAACTAAAGATTATAAAAAAATCATCTCAATAATACTTATTATAAATTATTGTTATTAAACCAAAAATTTCAAATAGATATATTGAAGAAAAATATTTAAATACTTTAGAAATTTTTTTCTTGCTTAATATTATATATTAAAGTTAATATTATTTTTGTTAAGTTTCCTTTTCATGAAAGCACATTATATATAAATATATTTGCTTTTTTAGATTATTTAAAAAAACATTATGATGTTTCCTTTTTATTATATATGTTATTTAAAAATGGGAAATTCTAATTAACATAAATTAATAAAATAAAAAGGTAAATCAATTTTAATAATGATAATTTTAAATTCATTAAGAATACTTGTACAGTTACGCATCGTAAGAACTAACATGAGTACAACCCGCAAGAAATTGCGCAGGACGAAGTTTTTATTGTTATTATGCTTTAGAAAATGAAACAATAGTTCGGTCTCATTTGGATTAGGGATATTCAATCCAGATATCATATTTCGGTTCGGTTTGATTTTTCAGTATTTCGGTTATTAAAATATAACTACTATTCTAAATTCATGTTTACTTCGGTTAGATTTGATTTATATACCATCGGTTTTCAGTTTATTCAGTTTTATACCAAAAAAAATAATAATTTAGTTTGAGATCATATTATATATTATACAAATTTTAGAGTCTTATTGTCAAAAAGTCATTTATTAAGAAATATTATATATTTAAATAAAGGAATAAAAAAACAAAAAAGGCTTATATCATCTAATAAAATGATCAAATCTAGAATTAATATCAAAGCTCTAAATTTTGAAACAAAATAAAAAAACAAAACAGAAGCATGAAAGAAAATTTTTTATATTCTTCCATATTTAGTGTTCATCAAATTAATATGTCTTCGTTGAACACAACTCTGTTTGTTTAAAGATATAAAAAAAAATTTGTAAACAATTTAAACTAATTGTTGTCCATCAAATTTATAATCTTTACTTCAATTTAGTTACTGTTAAAATAAAGGAAAAAGATAAAAAAAAAAAGACTAAGAAAATAAGAAGAATCAGTTGCACTAAATTGTTACTTAATTATAATTCAAGTGATTCAAGTGATTTACAAATCCCTTATATATTAATCATGTAGCATTACAACATATTTTTGTACCACGTGTCATCACTACGTTGATTCTTAGAATCCTTACAAAAATAAGTTGGTCTATTTTAATATATATTATACTTTTTATAGCGTATAAAAGAATATTCTCCATTATTTCTTTAAATAAAAGCTACAGAACTGTCTAATATGGTTAACAAATATATGATAATTAATGATTATAAATAATAAAGATTTGATAACAATTTTCTATCCTCCATTCTTCTTTTTAATTTTACATTTTTAAAATAAATTAAACAATCATATTAATAATATATTAAAAATTAAGATTTTTTCTTATATAGCTATATTTTGATTTTTTTAAATAATTATAAATTACTAAAATTGTTAAAAGTCAACATTGAAATTTTTGTGATCAATGATTTAACTTTTTATTAAAACAAAATACAAATGATCATAAAATAATAGAAATATTCAGAGTATATATATATATATATATAAAATACATAAACATGTTAATTTCAAAATTTGCTTCGAGTAAGAAGCATCGGTTAATAAATATTCATATAAATAAAATAATATTTGTTACCGTAAATATAAACATATTTACATGTAACAAATAAATATTCATGCGTCGTTATAAATATATACATATTTACATGTTTTAGTTTAATCGGTTATAAATCAAACCATATCCAAATCCTACGGTTTTTATAAAATCACATCCATTCGGTTTGTATTGGATATACCAAAAAAAACATATTATCGATTGTTTAATATCTTTTAATAATATAAAATGAAAAAAAAAAGAATTAAGATATTTAAATCATTGATAACAAAAATTTTCAATGTGAAAAGTTTTAATAATTTTATAATTTATTAATGTTCTTTAAAATTCATTGAAAATATTGAAATTAAATATTTATGTAATCTTATATGGTATATAATTTAATCTATATATATTTATTTTATTATTGAATGATAATTTTTACTCATATGGTTTTAAAATCATGTGTATCTTTTTATAATAAAAATGTTAAATCATTAATCATTAATTTTTAACATAATAATTTTAATATTTTAGTCATTTATTTTCGTTTTTTAAATTCAAAATATAACATATACGAAAAATTTAAAGTTTAAATTTATAGCTAATTTGATTGCTTATTTTTGTTTTAATAGTATAAAATTAAACAAAAAATTTATGGATGAGATATAAATTGTTATCAAGTATTTATTATTAGAATCATTAATTGTCATATATATTAGTTATTTATGGTAATTCCGTAGGTTTTATTTAAAGAAAAAAAAAATAGTCATTATATCTAGCATAACAATCATAAATAATTCTATCATAAATATCATATCATATCATATCATCATATCATATAGTTTGACCAACGAATGTATCTAGTGACATATAAAAATCGAATGTGGACCTACCTGTTTTTCAATTGAATGTAATTGACTACTTAATTGAGTGACACCTAAGCATGAGGTCTTTTTTAATTATTACAAAATTGAGGTTACAATTTTTCAAACGTTTCTCTTTTAATATATAGGGGATAAAACATAATTTATTTTGAAATATATATATATATATATATATATAATGAGACTTCTTACTTATCTAATTTTGTAATCATTTCTGTTTTGTTATAAAAAAATTTAACCATTGATCACAAAAATTTTAATGTGAGATTTTGTAACAACTTTAATCATTTATAGTCGTTTTAAAAAATTCAAAGTATAGAATATACGAAAAAAATCTTAATTTTTATTATATTGTAAAAGTAGTTGTTTAATTGATTTTAATAAGTTAAAATTTAAAAATACACTAATTTTTATCAAATCATTATTATTGAAAATCAATAATTATCATATGTTCTTTAACCATATTTGGAAATTCCGTTATATTTATTTAAGGAAACATTGAAAAACATTAATAAGTCATTTATGATTAGTTTAATAAAAAATTTATTATATATTTAAATGGACCAACATATTTTTCTAAGGATTCTAAGAATGATTGTGGTGATGACACGTGGTTATAAAACAATGTTGTAATGATTCTCCTTTAATATACAGAGGATATGTCTTCTATATGTTAACTATTTTATTATTTGTGATCTCAAAGGATACGCTTCCAGTTGAGGCAAAACAATTAGATATTTTCAATGGTAGATTATTCACTCTATATGTTAACTATCTTAATATTTATGATCTCAAGGGATTTGTTTCCAATTGAGGCAAAAAAAATTAGACATTTACACAATATTATTCACCTAATGGATGTGACAGTTGATAACAATTACCCATCAATTGTGAATTGTTTGACTTGGCCATAAATAAAGATTGTCTAGTAGTTCCATTAAATACTCAACTTAAAACCATTCTTAAGCTCTCAAACCTTGCAACTTGCATCTTGTGAAGACAAAAATGTTGAGAAGACTAACAATTGCTATGTTGCTTTTCATATCAGCAACATTTCCTCAAAGTTCAGGTAAAACATAATTGTAACGTCCACTTGCATACATGTGATACATATGCATCTTCATTTTATATACAGAAACGTCAAGCGGACCATGGTGTGTAGTCGATCCCCAGATACCGGACCAAGTGGTACAAGCTGCTGTAGACTGGGCTTGTCAACAGGACGGAACAAACTGTAACCAAATTCAGCCTGGCCAACCTTGCTTCGTGCCCAATACTATCAAGGACCATGCTTCTGTTGTCTTCAATACTTACTTCCAGCATTATAAGCACCAAGGCGGTTCTTGTGATTTCCATAGTGCTGCAGTGATCACTCACACCGACCCTAGTAAGCAACTTTATCTAAACCCTGTTGTTTTTTAGTTATCTAGCGTGATTTAATAAATCAAGATCATGAAAAATCACTGTCTGATTTTCTCATTATTTGATGATAGGTCATGGCTCTTGCCAATTTGAGTATGTTCCTGATTCTAAGTAAAGAGCAATGATGAAACGAAACCAATGAAACAACTTATGTACACTGAATACTAAATAAATGCAATGCATTATGATTACATTAATCTGGCCATTTATATATAATAATATTTCCAGCAACAAACACGTAGCTATCATAATCTGGTCATTATCTCTATAATATTATTTGAGAAGTCAGTTTCCTATATGTCGCGTTTACGTTAACTCTCACGATGGTTGATTACATAGATACCCTTAATGAATTGTTAGATTTTAAGATTATTATTAATTTTTATTTAGTTTCCTTTTTACCTTTTTCCAAATAACATATATAATAAAAATGAAATATTTCTAAAATTTTAAAACAAATTTTAAAATGAAAATATATGTATATAATATGAGTTTATTAAAAAGGAAAGTTCACAAAATAGTAATACCCCCATTAATATATATTTTTAAATAACCTAAAAAATATTTTCAAAATAATGAAAATGTATATGTTCATGAACATTCAAAAATTTATCAGTTACACGTTATTTTCTACTATTTTTTTAGAAATCAACATATAAATATTATGAAAATACATGTATATTTAAGCGATAAATTTTTATAATATTATTTGAGAAAATACATGTATATTTAAGATTATTATTAATTTTTATTTAGTTTCCTTTTTACCTTTTTCCAAATAACATATATAATAAAAAGGAAATATTTCTAAAATTTTAAAACAAATTTTAAAACGAAAATATATGTATATAATATGAGTTTATTAAAAAGGAAAGTTCACAAAATAGTAATACCCCCATTAATATATATTTTTAAATAACCTAAAATATATTTTCAAAATAATGAAAATGTATATGTTCATGAACATTCAAAAATTTATCAGTTAGACTTTATTTTCTACTATTTTTTTAGAAATCAACATATAAATATTATGAAAATACATGTATATTTAAGCGATAAATTTTTATAATATTATTTGAAAAGTCACTTTTTTATGTGTCGCGCTCACGTTAACCCTTACGCTGGTTGATTACTATGATACCTCTAATGAATTAAAAAAAAAATACATTTTAAGTATTATTATTTCTTTTTTAAAAAATTCCAAATAACAATATAAAATAAAAAGGAAACATTTATAAAGTTTACAAAACTATTTAAAAGCAAAAATATAAGTATATATAAATATGGTTTCATAAAAAAGAAAAGTTCACAAAATAGTAATATTTAAGTGAAATATATTTTAAATAACATAAAATATACTTTTGAAGTAATAAAATACTTTATATCTATATCTTCTTAGATGAAAAAAAATATTTGTATATAATGTGATTCCATAAAAAAAGCATACACAACTAATCTTGATAGTAGAAAAATAAAGAGTTTAAATAATAAATATATATATTTTCAAAGTAATTATTTTTTGTATATATCTATCTATTTTATTAGATGATTACATAAAATAATTAAGTAACATAAACTGATATAAGTTTAATTGACAATTTGTTTTTTATAGTTAGTATTCTTGAAATATTTTTTTAATTTTTAGTATATATATTTGAATATAGCAAAAAATATAAATTCTATTTTAATTATATAATATAATTTCTCAAAAATAATAACATTTTTACTGCATATTTTAAGAGATATTAAAAATAAAACTAAAAAATAATAATAAACATTTTTTTATCCAATAACTAAAATTTATTTTAAAATATCATAACACTATATAATTTAACGAAGTAGATATATTATATTTTGATAGTTAAAATTTTATGTTTTCTTGATAACTCTTTTGATTTTTAATTTTATGTTTTTATGTTTGTGGAACTTAATGTAACCATAATAAAAATAATTAAGCAAATCAGAATCCTTATTTTTAAAATATTAAAAATAAATTTAAGTTTATCATCCAATCAATCTAAATATTGTAAATGTTGATATGTGTTCATAAGCTTCCAAAAATTTATTATTTACTTATGTATGTAATTTAGAATCACACAGTTTAGTTTTTTTTTTTTTCTTTCTAAGCACAAAAAAAATTTAAGTTATACATAATCTAACTAGATGTATTTATATTTCTAAGATAACAACCGGCATAAATGTAAATAAGACAATTAATCAAAATTTAATATATTTAGAATAAAAAAAATTATAATTGAATTCAGAGAAATAGATAGAAGCTTATATATCCATATGATAACTAAATCAACCAAAAAAAATAAAACTGAGAAAATATAATATATCTAAAATATATATATAATTAAATTAATATAAAATTATTAATAGAAATTATATCTACAAATTATAAATTAATTTAAAATTTAAAGTAAATATCAATCAATTTTATAATATATTTATTTTATAAATATTTATGTCCGTGCATGAGCACGGGAAAATCACCTAGTATTATATATTAAGCAATCTTTGAGGAGAAAACATGAGTTCATAAGTAAGATAAGGCTTCTCCATTAGTAGGGCAAGGCAAAAGAATGACCACAAATTGACAGTAAAGATGATTTGAAATTCTTTAAAAAGAAGAGTTTCCCATGCAGCAAAGAACATAAAGCCTTTGAATGGTGCCAATGTAGAAAGCTTCCTGTCCTCGCGCAATGCTACCATGTAACACCTACAACATTGATGAACATGAAGCTTTCACATATTCATACCTAGTAAAAGACCACCTACCCATAAGTTTGAAATTGGAGTTACCTAGTAAGCAATCTAAAATATAGATATTTACAATGAAAACAATATTTTTACTCTCTCAAATGAAAAAAAATAAAGAACACAAGGAGCAAACTATTTCATAAAAAGTGTGGATACTCCCAATATAATCATTAAGTTAGATACAGAGATACCTATGCTAATCAGATCTACTTCAGTGTTGTGGGCAAACATTAATGGTGCCAGAGACTAGATTTCGTACAGAAAATTCCGCTAAATCAAACTGAAGCACAGTAACCACAATTACAAGACATCCAGCAAACATTCTCTACCAAGAGATCCATTCAATAGTTATAAATTCCAAAATTAAAAAAAAAAACGCACACAAATCGTGAAATAAAACAATTTACGTGCCGGAAAAGGCACGATCCCGGCAGTCAACAAGCCACCAAACTGTGGAAGAAAGAGATATGTCAAAGTATAAACAGAGGAAAGAAAGAATGAAAGGTCCTCAACAACGAAGAAGCTTGCAACGTTGGGATATTTGGTGCTAGGAGCAGAAACAAGAGTTGCAGTGTGAACAAAATGGTAAAGGGAAGCCATTTGCCACACCTGAAATATCATAACTTATTTAGAAAAATCCAACACAAGAACTGTAAAACCCAGATAGCTAACTGTAAGAAAAGCAACGAAATTTTGTAAAAAATCAGAATCTGAACCTGTTTGTAAGAAAGGTTTTCTGGCTTTAAGACTTGGGCACCGTAAGTTCCTAAACAAGAGCAGCCATTCCTACAGTAAATGAAGTCAGTACCTTCGTTTAAAAATCAAATCAAAGAACTTTTTGTTACGAGAAACGCTGGCAACATTGAGCCATAATAGTATGATATTATTAAACATTTTTATATACCAATTGCTTATGATTTGTTTTTTAGAAATCATGTTATATAAGTATATCATTTTTATAGATATTTTTTAGTTTTGTTGTAACTATGAAATATTTTTAGTCAACAAAAGACTATACAAAAATAAATAAATCATCTCAATAATACTAATTGCAAATTATTGTTATTCAACTAAAGCTATCTCGGTTTTTGTTATTAAATTATTTTCTCTGATTATTTAAGAAAATATATAGATTAAGAAAAATATTTTTAATACTTAAAAAAAAAATATTTTCTGTTGCTTAATATTATTTTTTCTGTAAATATTATTTTTTAAAGTTTTATATAAACATATTTTCTTCTTTAGAATTTAATACTTCTTCCTTTCGAATTTCCACTTCCCCAGACGAGAATGATGTGATCCATGGTTCTGTAAGAAAAAAGGATTGAAGCAATAGTTAAAATCACCATGAAAAGGACAACTTGATAAGGAAGAAAATAAGGATGAAAAAGATGACGACAGTTACGACAAATAAATTAGACCTAATTGTGGGCTTAAACCACTAGAATAAACCAAAATCTAATTAAACCAAATTCTGACTAGAAAATTTTGAATTAATTGAATTTCGGATTAATTGAACTAAACTGGAATTAGATTACTTAACTAAACCGAAAATTAACTAAACAAATCTGTCACAACATAAACTAACAAGTCGGCCGAGTCGTAGTTCAACAAGTCTGCAGCATTTGTAAATCGGTGGTAGATTTACCTTAAGTCTACCGTAATAAGAATCAATTTTTTAAACAAATCGGTCGTAAATCAACAAGTCTGCCATAAGAGAATAAGTCGATCGCAAAAATCTGTGATTTCTTACAAATCTGTTGTGTCATCCGATAGATATATTTAAAAAATCAATTTTCTTTACAAATCAAGCAAAATATAGACAAATCTATTGTGTCATCCGATAGTCATATTTAAAAAGTTTGTCGTGCGATAGATTTAAATAAATATGCCGACGACCTAAAAAATTAAATTTGTTTTTTTGTATAACTATAGCCAAGGGCAATTTTGATCAGAAAAACATTCTAATAATTCTGAAATAAATATGAGTCATTCTAGTAATAGCACCATTAATTTGAATCATTCTAGTTTTTCTCCCTAAATCAAAATTACAATATCGAAACAAACAAATAATGAGGAATTGCAGAGCCGGGATAGTTAATATCTTTCCTTAACTCTTTAAACGCCATGTCACTACAAGAAAACAAGACAATAGTGACATACATTAGTGACACCAAATTTCCGTCATTAAGTAACGACATATTACAATCTATGTAGTGCGGCGGTTTAATAGCGCTCATATTCCCAGTATACAACTGCACAAATCTTCTGATGTGTGCACTCTATCAAAAGCCTAACGAATCTAGTTTTGTGATGTACTCTTAGACTCAAAAAAAAATAAACTAAAAT